CTTCTTCTTCTTCTTCTTCTTCTTCTTCTTCTTCTTCTTCTTCTTTTTTGACATTGGCTGCTCTTCTCCCTTTGATTATTGAAATAAAATGATGGCCATTTCCCCCTGCTCTTCCCTCTCTCCATACATTCACGTCTCCGGGCCCTCCATGGCCACCCTTCTAGGACGCAGATGGGGCAGTCCTTCTCCCTACGGCTGAGGACACAGGTTCCCATGGAGGATTCCTAGCCCTACGTCCTTTTCCATTATGATAATCTCTTCCTGTAAGATGTTTCCTGGACAGTCCTCTGCCTGCACCTTCATGCAGTCTTGCTGGGGTGTTGCTGATTTACATGCTCGTTTATAGTTTATGAGGAGGAATAAAATGCACCAACTGCCAAGCTCCTCATTTTTATGATGCCAGTTGTCATGCTAGCATTCATTTCCTATTTACTCACCTTTTGGTAATCGCCTTATCTAATGTTAATAGTTTTATCCATTTAAAGTAGAGAAAAGCCCAGGCGCTTTCTTTTGCCTAAATTTAGAGAAGCAAATAAATAAATAAAGAGAAGTCTGAAAAATCTGAAACCTTTGGAGCCAAATTCCCTGTCCCTGTTTGCTATGTAAAGTATGGCTCATTTCTTTGATCTTGAGTAATAATAATTCTGAGGCGTTATACTGTTTTCATATGCTTCAAAGCTGTGTCAAAGTTTTGCTGCTTAAGGGTACTTCTTTATTCTGTTGGCTCTTGGGTACCAAGATGACAGGTCTTCTGTACGAGGTGGAAGCTTTTTTAAGTCGTAGCCTTCAGCAAAACATCAAATTACCAAATCCAGGGTAACATACTTCTACACAAATGCCTTTCCTGTAGATATATTATACCATATATATTAAATACTTTAGTGTTACACGCTACATTTTATGTGCAATAGAAAGTGATGGTTTGAGGTAGCCTTGGGGGGACTTTTTTTCCACAAGCAGAAAAAGCTAGTGTATACCGTATCAAGCATGGTTTTTACAGGACTTTCTGCCCGAAGGCCTTTGTAAATAAGTAATGATCAACAGATTGGCTGTGGGTTTTTGAAAAGCATGCCTATGTCAGTTTGCATGATGGGGGAGAATTTTCAAAGTGGGTCTTGCTTTCATTGCCTGTTGGAGAGGGGCTGAGGGAGCAGTCATCCTGGGCTGGAGCTGTCTGCTCTGTGGTACATCAGAATTGCTAAACGTGGGTCAGGCGGCGGGCTGAAGCTTGCCAAGCTACAGAACTTGGGTTCCTGGTGTTGGTGCCTTTGGGCTACTCTCTGGCCACAGTTACTGCTTTACCCCACCTGCCCACAGCGGTCTCGATGACAGCTCAGCTCACACGGGCCGTCCCATGACAAGTCAGAGGGTCTTCAACGTTCCTCCTTCACCGTGACTTTCTATGTCCCAGGTGCTCTGCATCGTCTTCTGCCGTGGAAGCAAAGACAAGGTGCTGAGCCCTCCATTTCCTTTCATTTCCAGCATGTGAATGAAGAACCCGTGGGCAGTTTCGCTTGGTTTGAATGTCTGGCACAGACAGGGAGGTGGCCAGGACCTAATTCTGTTACGTGTCTCTTGTTGACTGAGAAGAAAGAGAGGGGCTCATGCGGTCTCTTGTGGCTTCTCCAGGTCACCCCACCTCTTTCAGTACTCCCTTTCAACTCTACAGAAGATAGGACTCTCAGGTCCCATTCCTTCTGACCTGAAAAATCCATAAAGGAAGCTAATGACTTATCTGAAGTGGGCTTTTCGACATGAGTTTGTGGCTTGGCTTGTTTGAGCAGAATCAAGCATTCTGAAGGTGGAAAGGTTTTAGGGGCCTATGGACAGTGATAGGAATAGCTCCAGGAGAAACCCGAGAGCCCAAAATGGGGCTAGGATGGGCTTTAATTTACCACGGTGGCTTCGGCAAATAAAACAGGCTCCTGCACGAGGGTTCCCTGCAAACCATCGGCCAGTGGGAAGTGCTATGGGGACTCTGCACTCATGGTCTTTGTCTCCCCTTTGTTCTGGGATCAGGCTCACCTGGTTTTTCAGTGTCACTTAGCTCTCCCCACAGCCATTAGGTGAACAGCCTCGTTTTGTGTGTCTGGATCCTGACGCACTAGGTTTTATAGTCGCCTGACAGAAAACAACTCTCACAGCCCAACTGAGCCAAGTGGCAAGTGTCTGTGCTCCAAGCCAGCAAGTCCTGTATCGTGACAGATAACCTTCGGCTTCACAAACCCGCCCCAGGAGGAACAGGCCACAGAGTTGCCCAGGTTCCTGTTATCTGCCTTCCTTGTTGATCTCTTAACATGGAATGATTTAAGGAACCTCTCCTCATTTCCCTTTTGAGTCACCAAGCCCTCATTGCCCACTTCTTCCTGCTGGTGAGTCTGTGCCTTGTGGGGATGGCTGTGCTTCCCTTCCGATGCAGGGCAGTAGAGGGCAAGAACATTGTCTCTGGATAACCACGTCAAGTGTTCTTAATTTGGGGGTCCCGCAGACCCCGCTGAACATCATATGAAAGCTCTCTAAAAAGGCTCTCGGCGGCGGGGGGAAAGCACACTGGGCACCATTTTGACTACACTTGAAGCAGATTCATGGATTCCCTCCATCCCTGTCTGGCTTACAATCATTTTCAGTTCTTTCCATGGCCACCTTCAAGGAGTTGAATTCACAAACGCTGGTAGATACTAAGAATATTTCTCCAGCAGGTAGACAGTATAGAGTAAATGCCTGGACTCTCACACAGTATCCTCAAATGGGATCCAAAAAGGCTGTGCATTTCAGCTGTCTGTTTCAATTCCTTTTCTCAGATTAATTCTCATCTAGCAAATGTTTTTTGAAAACCTACTGTATTTGGGGTTGTAGAAGGTCTTTGAAGAACGTAAAGTAAGATGGGTTAGAGTAGGTCTCCAAAACGATCACAGTTTAATGGAGGAGACGGGCAAGCATATATGGCAAATATATATATATATATATATATATATATATATATATATATATATATGTTTCTACATGTGTAAGTAGAAACAGCTTGGAGATGTACTCGCATGGGCTGTGAGAACAGAGGGAGCTGCCATTACTTCTGGTTTGGGAGGCTGAAGCTGGTTTGTGAAGGAGCTTTCATTTAAACCTAGCCCTGGATGATGAGGAGAATTCTCTAGTAATATCAATGCCTACCCTTGTTCATTGTTTACTGGGTGCCAGGCATCATTCCAAGAGTGTTATGACTGTGAACTCACTGAATCTTAACTCTAACTCCATGAGTAGGAATTACACTTTCCCCCATTTTACAGATGAAGAAGCTGAGTAACAGAGACGTAAAGTCTGGTGGATCTAGTGAGTCTTACCCAATGAGGAAGATTTGAACCCAGGTGGTTTAGCTTCCAAGTCCATAGTATTAACTCTTTCACTGTTCTGTCCAATGGAGGAAAGAAGGAGAGTGCTCAGGCCATAGTAAGTGGCTTGGTGTGGCTGGAGCAAGGGGTCCTTAAGGTGGCATAAGTGGACTTGGAAATCTGAAAGTATTCTTGTACCCACTCCTGAAAGCCTTTGCCTTTGCCTTGTCATAGGTACTGGGAAACCCTTGCAAGTTCTTGAGGAGACACTGTTTTGAGAGGATCACTGGTGGCAGTGTAAGGAGAGGTATAGAAGCAACCCTCCATCAGGGCAGCCTTCTGGAGACACACGTTACATAAATAGAGAGGTGTGAGAAGAAGGCCCAGCCAGCCCCAGCCTTCGCCAAGGTCCTTTGGGTACCAAACCACTCAGGGTTTGCTGTAGAATAGTGGGCCAGAAGTGGGCCACAGTCTTCCCAAGAAGGACACACAGCACTCCTGACGTGAGTCCATGTTACACCTGTTTCTCCAGGACCTCGGAAACTTGGAGTCAGATAAAGGGGTCATGA